CGGGTTTTCGAAAAATTATCCAGTTGATGTCGATTGGTTCTCAGGGTAGGCTGTTGTGTTAAAATTTACGTTAAGTGATCAGTCTGTGAAATAAATCCCGAGACTAAATCATGACAGAATCCTTCAAGGTAGGTGCTTATTAGTATGAATGAACAACTCGCTACTCTGTATTTATCCCATAACGTGAAATCCTAAAGAACGAATCTTTTCCAAGCTAAGGCTGTCTGCTCTAACGCTGTAAACATCAGTTTTGTCGTACGTTCAGTCGTTTTATAAACGTTTCAGTGAATGTTGAATTTCTAGCGAGAAGAGAATTGAATCGGGGCAGACAAGCCTGCCTTGTTCCTCGAGGCACCTTTCACCTGTTGGATGGTAGTGTACTATTTCCTAGTCTGCCTCGCAGACTCTCTACATCACATGCTAGATTTACTCGACAACGTTACTTTTTGGTAATCAAAAGCTAAAACTTTCTGTACCTTCTAAACGTTAGTGCTCTATTAAAGAATACAGTTATGAAAGATCAGTGTTTCAAGAATTGAATAGGAGTAAATGTGTTTACAGGAACTTCATGTCATCTTCCTCGGGTTAAATAAATAATTTTTTTACAATGGTAATTTACAAGTGTAGCTATTGTTTTAGAGTCTGATACATTACTGCCCTGGGAAGTTCCAAGCGTAAGCACGGTTCATTTTATGCTTGGTAAACATTAGCTACACTTCGAAAAGTTCTACTGCAATTACAATAATAAACTATATAAATATGTTGCTCAGTTTTAACTCTTGCAAAATGTCGAGTTTACTCCGTTGTAACGCGAAAGAATTTGGCAAAAGAGAAGACGGTTTATTTCACCTTTTCTGTTGTAGCGTGAGCTTAACATACTGATAAGCGGATTCTAATTTATTGGCAACATCTCAATGGATGACCACTGGGTGGGAATCCGTTCTGCTTATTTTTATGTATATAATTCTGCTCTGCAAATCGACGAAAACAATTGTTGCGATGGATTAAATTTCAGAATCTTCACTCTCTTTCTCCCTAATAATTTCCGTTTACCTTTCCGTCTTCCTGTTTTTCCAAAACGGAAATTTGTGTTTCCTTTTGTCCTTTTTCTTTCCTTTTTTTTTTGTGTCCATGGATAATCGCCTCATCCTATGGCTGTTGACCAAGCACCTTCTTCCACAGAGGAACTTGAACTACCCACCGAAACTTAGGTACAGTGCACGAATTAGCTGAAAATAGTTATTATTTTGTTTTGCTTTATGTGGCAGGTTCTGCGTTGTATTTTAGCCGCTTTAGTGATCTTCTTTCGTGAAATGACTGAGGCTACAGGTAAGTTTATGATGTTTAAAAATTTTCCTCCCTAACCTTCTGTTATCAGAAGAGGGCCAGGCCATGGGAATTAATCTCCAGTGATGTGCCATTTCTCGTCACAGCGTTGTTACTGCTGTTGTTTCGCTTGCTTGCTTTTTTTGTTTGTTTGTTTTCTCTTTTATTGTAATGGGTGGATAGGAAAAGGGGAATCTACGAGTAGTAGTAGTAGTAGTAGTAGTAGTAGTAGTAGTAGTAGTAGTAGTAGTAGTAGTAGTAGTAGTAGTAGTAGTAGTAGTAGTAGTAGTAGTAGTAGTAGTAGTAGTAGTA